ACGAATACCGGACGGGAGGCGTAGCTGCGAATGCAGATTGCCAACCCGTGCAGGTATGCCTCATATTCGGCTAGGCCACGATTGGGAGAGAAGTAACACCCCACCACCACTGTTACCCCCCCACTCCACTGCCACGAAGCCAGCACCCTTTCTTAGGAGAGAGCAATGGAAGCCTTCCCCACCCGGCCAATAAATGGCCGCTGAGCCATCGACCGCCCCGAACCAACGCGGATGGTCCGGGACGGTATAGGGCTCTGCAATGACTGCCAGGGCAACCGACTGCTCCGCGAGCGTCTGGATTAATAGATCCTGCGCTGCTCGGCAGTGGTTGAGGTTGCCCTGGAGAACCCTTGCGTGTGGTGGGAATGTTAAGCCTCCATTGCCTCTCCCGTCGAGTTACAACTCGACACTGGCTGTCCAGATTGGGCAAAGGCGGGGCGAGGCTGAACCTCTCCCTCCTTTTGCTTCTTCGGTGGGCAACAGCTCTTGCTACCCAGCCGATGGTTTGCGGGCCGCCCGTGGTCACTGCACACCGGACACCTCGGTGCGTTCGCTGCGCAGTCTCGGGCCTTATGGCCCAATTCTCCGCAGCGAAAGCAGCGCCCACTCCTGTCAGGGTGACCTGAGCATTTTACCCTGACGTGTCCCATTTCAAGGCATTGGTAACATTGCAAGCGCCGTGGTGCCAATGCTTCGGTACGGACCGACGCCCAGCCCACCTGCACGCGTTGGGCGGCCGCAGCTTGGCGTACTGCTGTAAGTGGGCCCCGGACCCAAACCGTTCCCAATCGGGCTGCGGTTCTGCGTATCTCCCCGACCTTGATGTCGGACGGAGAGCAACCACCCACTGCGGCTATTGCCTCCGCAACCTCGATGGCGGTGATGGATTCGTCCAAATCCATCACCCGCATTTCGGCCGTTTTGCACGGACGCATAAATCGCGCATCTGTGTCGCCCATGACCGCGCGCAAGCGTTCGGCCAAAGCGTCCGCTTTGGCAGCGCTATCCGGCCCGGGGACCTCCAGTACTAGGCCCCCTGTGACTGCCTTTCGCTGGCGGACCCCGCCCGTAATGCCAAGCTCCGCCAGCTTAATACGGGCTTTTGCGGCCTGCATTACTTCCGCCAGTGAGGTACTGGATCCCGGAGGCACTGCGACCACGACGGCAGCATTGGTGGGGGGTCGCGGTAATTGCGACTTCTTTGGCTTCGAGACGGGAGTAGCAACCGCACCCTGTCTCGCAGCGGTAGCCTTGGCTTTTCTCCCAACAACTTGGGCCCAGGTGCCCCCTTCCTGCCTTACCGCTGGTTCCGGCAGGGTAGACCTTCCAAGACTTGAAGCCTGCTTCGTTACTGGGGTTAGTTGCTGCCCCGTCAGCCCCTTCGCTTTCTTTTTCTTCTTCTTCTTCTTCTTCTCGGAAGGAGAAGAGAGCGCAGTGGCTGCAGCAGCCGCCTGCCGCACCACTGGAGTCCGTCCTTGGCCTAGAGGTGGTCTGGCACCTCTCTCTGGGAAGAACCTAGCTAAAAGCCCGGACTGGAATCGGGCAAACTCACGGTTCATGATTGCCGCGATTTCTTCCCAGTCCAGATGGTCCTCCCTTGCCGGGTGAGCCAGTGGCACTGGCGAGCCCATTTTCGGCCCCAGTTCCGCCATCGAAGAAGGCAGCGGGATCGTTCCCGCCACCTTTGTGGCCGACGATCTCCGCAGCACCGCCGAAGATGGTTCGTTCTCCTGTTCGAGAACCCTCACCCGGTCCACCAGCGACGATGATGACGCCTGGTTCTGCACGGACACCTCCTCGTACTCGCGTGTCACCGCTCTGTTGCAGAGCTCCTTAACGCCGTCCCGCAGAGTCTGCAGGGCTCGACGAATGGAGCTCATTACTTCCGCCTTCGTGCTGCGGGGTCTGTCCAATGTCTCCTCGACATTATCCAGACTTAGCAGCATTTGGGTGCCGACCTCAGCTGAGCTGGGCTGGTTTGCGTAACTGACACTGTGTGTCCGCTTCGCAAAACCAGTTCCGTCCTCATCATCGTGTAGACTACGCTTCCGCGACTGCCTGCGTGTCTCCCTCTCCGACCCTATCGAGGCTGAGCTATCGCTCTCTCCGCCTCGATCACCTCCGTCAAGCGGCAGCGGGGTGGAGGGTCTGGATAAAGGTGTTTTCAATGAACGCGACCGCAACCGCCGTTCGTCACTCTCTCTCGCCTTAGTCAAGCGCTTCTCCTCTCTATAAATTCTTTGTCCGTTTTCCATTAAGCCAATGTCGTTGGTAGATCCGTCCGTTGTTTTTGGTTTTTGTTTATCTGTGTTAAATTCCATATTTAATCCCACGAGTATGGGGGAAATGAAGTCCATCCGGGCGGTGCCCCCTGCACCCGGATAAGCCTATGTACTGTGGAGGTCGGCCGGTATCCACAGGTCTTAACGACTTCGCTGTCGGGTGTTATAGACTGTCCTTGTCATAGGTCGGCCAATTAAGGCAAGCCCTCCGGCCAACAGGTTCTCAGCGTACCCTCCTGGAGCCACCAGTTGGGTCGTTGCTAAACCTCTGTTGGTTACGAAATGCGAGAGGGTGGCTAACCCTCCCTCACCGGCGGCAGCACTAGTGCTTGTCAGCCCCTGCGTAAGCAGTGGGCCAACCCGCCCTTGGATTCCATACGGATCCCACCTCGGCCTCTGCCCATAACCCCTTCGCTCGTCCAGTCTCCTCTGATGAACAGAGAAGTACCGAGAGCGGTTTACCCCCCCTGCCGAGTTATTTGCCGGCGGCCAATACCAACCCTGAAAGGGAAGTTATTGACCGTCGCCCAGGATGCACCGGCCCCCTGCTTCCGTTCCCCCCGGACACAGTGGCCATGAAGGACAAGAAACACGGTGACGCACGTGGAGGTTACCCGACCCGCACCCCAGTTCTACGATACCTACTAATTGGAACTATTTGTGGAAAGTGTTTCAAATAGTGCCATCACTTATAATTCAGTCATCATTAAATAGTTACTAGCTCAACTCGTTCAACCATCCTAAATCTTCTAAGAGATGTTCTATCTCAACTCAATAAAATATGAATACGGTAGGGAAGTATTTCGCGAAGTTACCGCATCCTCCCAAATTACCTCCGTTATGGCAACATATCTATTGATGCTCTTTGTATTGGCATTCTTGACAAGATGGACTCTTTATTTCATGTACGTATATCAGAAGTTAGAGGTTATTCAATAACTCTTCTCAATTCAGAAAAACAATATTTTATTGTATGCTTGCAAGAAACTGTCTTCTTCCTTTACGTGTTCGTGGCTCCAAAATAGAAATAATAATAACAAATGTTTATTTATTTTCTTTCTTCAAAGGCACATACAATTTTATGGACAGTAATTATGTAGGGCTACATTTATTTCTCCTCCTCCGCAGTCCAAGATCCTCAGCCGTTTATTAACTTTGGTGAAGAGATTTACGAAACTTTTATATGCTGTACAGTATTCACGTTATATATTGCAACTAACTTGTGACTGCTGAGTTGCGGGTGTCCATAGGCGGCGGTAGTCACTTACCATCAGGTGACCCCGAAAAAAATAGAGAGAGAGCTTTTATAAAGGTACTGGCACAATGATCGCTATTCGACTATTACCATTTACTGCAAGGATTCCTAAACTATTTTGGGCAAGAGACCTCTTTTCTAAAATGAATTGACACCGTAGACTCCCATAGCCAAGTTACTGCACGTTTGTCGACTTTTTTAAAAGTACAACAATGGTACTTCTTATTAAAATGTTGGTCATTCTTATAACGAGGTGGTATACGCCACACAACTAATACAGTATATTGAAAGTTTCAAATTTATTCAAATAAGAACTTGTGTTAATTAATAGGGGTCGTTTTTTAAACCTCATCGACTCCCAAAATCAGTTTCCGTTTATGTCGACCCCGGGGAAACAAATTTCGACCCCAAGGGGTCGATTTCCACCAATTTAGGAATCTCTGATTCACCGTAATGTCAGTAACTATCGTGAACCAGTAAATGTTTAGTATTAGGTAGATACCATTTTACTATTTTCCTGATAAAATAAAATTTAACCTATGTTAAATACACGAATGAATTAGCCCAGTCTATAATCGCTGCGTCGATACGAAAGTGCTAGCAATGAAAAGTATTTTTCCGGACCCAAAATGAAAACATATTGTCGCCCATGCAGACTAGAGCATAAGAGAACTTATGTCATTGTGGAGATATAACGGAGATTTATCGCTCTGTTTGTTACTTGTTATCGGCGACGTCTCGTGACGATTGCGACGTTAGCCGCAGCGGCAGGGATCGGCGACCAAAGGGAAGCTCTGTAACGGGTTATTGTCATTTGTTCCACGAGAACCGGCTATACTATTCAATTAAGCTTACATTTACAAGTTTTCTGTTTAACTTTTTATATGTGACTTGCTCAAAACTGACTGTTATTATTCACGAATACAAAAATAGACAGAGAGGTTATTGAACTGCACCGTATTATTTATTTATTATTCTATTTGAACTACTTACTTTCAACAGAAGATATAATATGTTGTGAAAAAGTATTCAGCAAGGACTCCAATGCCGGGAATTATCTAGAATCCATAATCCAATTATATACAACTGCCAATTTATAGTGACACAACCAGTTGCAGGCAGTTTAATCATACTGCATGATTAAATGTTTAATGTTTCTCTTTTTTGCTCTAAATCCCGTTTGTGACATAGTGAGTAATATGACAAAACGAGGAATACGTTTTTTTTTCCTTACTAGCTTACGTCTAAGAGTTATTCAAATGTGACTGATATATGATTTAAACATCTAATAATCGAATGAAAAATGTACAATATAAAGTTGGAGGAGGAAGACGAAGGACCGGGGGGGCTACGATGCACTTAATCTATGTCCAACATTGGGCTACTGTAGGCTAATTAATTGATTAAAATACTAACGTTATTCTCATCTCTGATTAAAGGGCATACAGACCCCTTTCTCCTGAATGGTGCGCGCCAACATTGGCTTGGGCAGAAGCCGATCACCTTTATCAGACAATATCCTATCAACTTCTATGCTCAAAATAGCAAGTGATGACTGCGGTTAGCAGTATAAGTCTCATTACCACGGACAATTTTTAAGCATAATGAATAGGTACTCATAAATTAATGTATCAATACTTAACGAACATTTTCTCTTTCACAGGAGAGGTTCAGTGGGAGCGTACTCTCCGTCTGTCGGTTTGCAAATAGTTCGTTCTTAAGTAGCGCAATACATCACAGCGAAGGACGGTGTGCCTGCCCCTCCGAATGATATCTACCTCGGCTCTGGCAAATCTGACGTCATCAAGGCTATGCTCACCATGCTTGTCGCAGATGTAGATGGAAGTACACCCGGTAGGTTTAAGCCTAACTTTTATCAAAGCACGTATTTCTAAGAGACCGATTATTATTTTTGTTTGACAGCGGTCATGGTCCCGATACCCCAATACCCCTTGTTCTCCGGGATACTGTCTGAACTGGGTCTTTACCAAGCGAACTATTATTTGGATGAGAGCAACGGATGGGCTTTGTCGATACATGAACAGAAGAGAAACTGGACAGAAGCAAGTGAAAAGAGCCACGTCCGAGCGATGGTTGTTATCAACCCTGGCAATCCTACGGGCCAGGTGGGTATATAAGAATATTTTTGCGAAGTGGAACAACTGAGCTGTTTATGAGCCCCATTTGACTGATCCTAGTGATAAACTATATTTCATATTTAGGACACTTTTAACCCTGGGGAAGTGGTTTGTACTCGTATACATTAAAAAAAGATATATTTACATTAATTAAGTATTTTCATATTTAAACATCTATCTATATCTTCATTTTCAGATTGAGAAAATTTTCGTACTAACAATTTTTTTTTTTTTTTCCGTAAGCTAGACGTAACGTAACGTAAGAAATATTTAATGTTAAATAAAAGTGCGTGTCGATTTGTTGACAGGTGTTGACTCGTGAAAGTCTACAATATTACAATCTACAATACCACAATATTTTGAAATATCTATATAACTTGTAAAGTTTAGCCAGCGTTTACAATGTAAGCGCACAAAAATATGTTTTTAACGAGTTCACATTTCAAATCTTTGTAATTTTCGAATTTTCTCTACTATAATAGGCACGCATTATAAATTTAAACCCGCTTTTTGAAGAAGAAAAAATCGACTTCATGTTATACTATGTAAAGATTTTACACATTGTTTAAAAACATTCTGTATTTCTTCTGCGTATAAACATAAAATATTCCTAATAAGATCCTTCTGTGCAAAATATTTGTTTAAAAAGGGGTACCAAGCAATCTCTTAACCTTAAGCACGTGAACAAATTTATAGATATACAAATTTATAGAAATACTAAATTTGTTATCATCTTATTTTTTGATTTGCCTGACATCGTTGAAAGGATTATTATCATTAAAGTTCCTTTTTTTATTTACTTACAACAACACTTTTAAGTAACTTAAACTTAATATTATGTTTAACATACCAAATCATTTATGATCATTCATACATATACACGCCTATATCTCTGAAGGCGTTTTAAAAGTTCAAAGTTTGCGTTATAGCGGATAAGCCTATGGTCTTCAACTGGAAACTTTCAGGATTAGATGGCAAAGTTGGGAGTATTTTGAAAGGAAAACACAGATAAAAAGGAAAGCAATAGTAGTTGAAGGATTGGAGAATGTAGGTGAGCAATCGCTCAAATAAATCAGACTAACTATCCTTCGAACTGGCTGTTGCCAGAAAGTGCGAGTCCTTTATCGTTAATTAAAAAGTAATGGAATAAGTACAACGCTAATTACGTAACTCAAAAACTGCCAACTTAAAAAAGTTATTCTAATATACATAATATAGTGTTCTTTTTGAATAAGTCATGAACACTATGAGAATGCATCAGGCCTTCTTACTCAATATCATTTCTTATATTTTTATATGTGCCATATATATTCTTGTAATAGGGTTCCGTTACAAAACTGGAACTTATAACATAACACGTCTAGTTGCTTAGATCTTATGTGACTTATCTCTGTAATTAGGAGATTGTTAACTTTTTTTCCAAGCGCCGAATCTGGGGAGATCGTGTGTTCCTTGAGGTACTCGGTCATGCAATGTCGTATGGCCTTTCTCAGACTTATCAGAGAATATTCCAGAAGGTTCCAAACCCGTTGACTTTGTACTTTACGACAGTCATTGTGATCTGATCTAAACACTTGCACTGATGTTGTGTTGTATAAGTTTCTGAAAAGGCATAAAATATATTCATCATGAGTACTGCAGCAATATGCTGAGATACTTGCATTTTCTGGCATTATAATTAGTCCATTATAGTCTGTCCTATAAACGTCAGACTACATGTTTCTTGTTCTTTCTTTCTTTACTTTACTAAAGTTACGATTATGTATCATACGGTTTAGACCAATTTCTATTTTGTTCGTGATGCGTTCTAGTTTACAATTAGACAGAGTAAAGCGCAGAAGTTCTACTATTAAAGTCCGTTATCGGGGTGGGTTGTACGTACAGAAAAGCTTCTCCAAAAAAAAGAAAGGGCCCAATAGGATGCAGGCTGCTATACTTTTAACCTTAAACATAAACGAGTCAGTTTTAGCAGTCAGTCAAAGGTCTTTTGTCAGATGTATCAAGATTATATTATTTAAGACTACTGCAGAATTTGGTACCTGTAACTATGGCTCATGTTATTGAATATTTCGTCAAAGACCAGACTTCGTTTTTTTTTTGAAATCTTGAACCTGTTCTGCAGGGCGCGTCGGATGAGATCGGCGTTGAGAAACTTGCGGGTCGCTTTTGTTACCTCTTTTAATATGTATTGGTTGACTTTGGTGAAGACCTGTCAGATAACAACTTACACACATACCTTTTGTATCAAGAATAAAGCAGCCTTTGTAGTGGTTGGTAATTTTAGTAAATTCAATAATAATTTATCTGTTTTTATTTATTTTTAAAAGACAACTCCCACATTAGGAATATATCCTGTGTCGCGGGGTGCTTTAAAAACATACATGAAACGGACACAAAGAACACCCAGACTCAGAACAACAAGTGTCGTCCCATGTGGGGTTTGAACCCACAACACTCGGCGTAGTAGGAAGCGGCGTGGCGACCGCTGAAACCACTACGCCATCCGTGCAGTCACTCAATAATACGCAGTCAGTGAAAAAAATGAGTTCGCTAGTGTTATTAAAGAAGTCTTTATATATATATATATATATATATATATATATATATATATATATAAAGAAAGAGAGAGAGAGAATTGATTTTTTTACCGTGAAAAAACCCTCACCCTATTATTTCGACGGGGGTCATAGAAGAGTAAACTGTTTGTATCGCAATTGCGCCAACTAAAACACTCAGTGTTTCGTCACAAGCGACTATTACAATAGACTCGGGTATACCTTAACAAGGAAGTTTTAGAGAAGCCTGACCTTGACTATAATTACGCACTCAGAACATATGACCTGCTCAGGCCTCTTTCAGATCGTCAATTTTCCTGAGATCCAAAACTGGATTCAGTTTTATTGCTCCACTTTTACTTAATGTTTTCTATATTGTACACAAACTAAATATATTTTTTTAATTTTACCAAGGTTAGTTGGTTCATCATGTCACTGAGCACGGCCTCCACTTGTTTATTCTCAGAGTCCTGGGAGGTACACTCCAGATCCTCATTGGTTTTGTTGCTTTTCTCAGTGTTTCTTAATATTTTCTCGGCTGTAACATTGGTCTGATTGCTGTGCTGCCCGTATGCCATCGTCGTTAATGCGCGAAATTTGTATTCTCTTTTCTGTGTTTCCAATTTGATATCGAAGGAGTTTACTTTAAATTGAATATCTACACATCGAACTGTATGAACTAATAAAGCCACGTAAACAAGATTCATAGTAGCAATCGACTTGTTACACTTATTTTTGTACGTTAAACATAAACTTCTTTTCAATTTTGGCTCCCATTTTAACATTTCAAAGGAAATTCCTTGGTCTTCTGGTCCAAAGTAATGTCTAGTTTCGATGTCACCTAGAATGTGAATTTTGTTTAAAAACAGCTCAATCATCATTTACTTTCAATTTTTGACGAGATCACAAATTTTCACAGCAAATAGTGCAGTTGCATACTTTGAAAGCCATAAGATTTAACCCAACATGTGACCTAGGTTTCGATTGGCGACTGTACTTTGACTGTTCTTTCGGATTCTTAAATATAAACGTATGACATATTTCACATGCGATATGGTCTTTGTGTATATAAAAACACCATACTTAAGCTCATAACTCACCTTTATTTCTTGTTGAAGTAGTTATCGGGCTTGATTAGATGCATTGTGCCAATAAATATATTCAATTTCTAAATTATGGTTTTTCTTTATAGTTCACTGGCTGCCCTAGCACTCAATTCTAAATTTATGAAACAAGATTACTGTTAAAACAATAAAAACCACCGATAACTTTTTGTATTAAAATATTTTTTATAGGAATTGAATGTAATCAAAATTTTGCAAAAAAAAAACAATTATATATAAAAATAGTAAAACTGTTTAAAGAAGTGATGAATATTTTATGTGCAACAACCTACTTCTCAATATTATCTTTCAATGTTCATCTTCAGCACGTAACACAAACTTTAGTGCATAGAAAAACTTCAGACATAAGATTCACTATTGAAAATCAAACTACATCATTGTGTGATAAAATACTCTTTGCATGGCTTGCTGGATCTTACCAATCTAGGCTGTGATAAACACAAACTCAGCGGTTGAAAAAACAATTGCTAAGACAATGAGGTATGAAAGTGATAAAAATGGAATGAATGGAGATAACACCAGGTTGACTTTTATAAGGCAAATAGAATAAGGTGTATCTTCGTTATTCTATTGCGTATCACAGGATCATCAATTACCGCGAAGTTCAACTAGAGACAAAGCTATTTTTATCAAAATTCATAAATTAAACAATTCAAGTACCTAATACAGTTTTATTAATATAAAACTGACATTAAAATTTAATCAAAATGCTGCAGTCATTTTTTTTTAAACATTGGAATTTTTTTACAATTAAAATAAATAAAGCTTTTAACACCTGCTCTTGTTAGCAAAAGAAGAAATAGTATACAAAAACGAGTCCCACCTATCCTAATGATAACTTTCACACACTATCACTATTAATATCGTAAAGTGGAAAGTTGGCGAGGATCGAGGATCGATCCACCAGAGCGACTGCATCGATCTGGGTGAAGTAAATTTTGACACAATAAAATTAATTAACAAACGACATTAACGTGAACGAAGGGCAAAAGCTCATCAAATCAAATATTCGAATGACAACAGAAATCTGCCTATGAAGTTACTATTTATAATAGGCGAGGTTTTCTATCCCCCAAACCTTTTCCAAAACTAGGTTAGGACCGTTTTTCAGTTTATTAAGATACGACTGAACTTTATTTTTTTACGCAGAGCCTTCAGACCTCCACGACCCAAGTACTAGGTGACATCGAAGTTCTGTAGAAAGACTATTGTTGGACTTTTTAGGGCTCTAACTAAGCGTAGCGATTGCCGTGTTCGTGTAGCAACCGGGACGTTAGGCTTAACGTGCTCACCGAGGTCTATTTGACTAAAATTACAACAAAATTAAGTAGGTACAGTAAGAACCTTTTTTGAACCTTTCAGGATTTTCAAAAGAAAATAAATCATCATTCAATTGTTGAAGGCAAAATATTAGTCAATATTGTTCTTTAGAAACCTGTTAATAGTTTTTTATATCACATCAACAGCGTTTAATAGTCCACTGCTGGACATAGGCCTCTCCTTACAAAGAAGGTTTTGGCCTACTATACCACGCTATCCAGACCGGTTGGAATAGGGTTTGTGTCAAGTTTTCCTTCTCTTTGTCCTGCGTAGTTTGCTCCCTTAGTTGCCTCTTACGACACCCACGGGATGAATAGGGGTGGTGCCACTCTGTATTCTTAATCCGTCATCACACGGATAGATTAATATATAGATTTTTTTAAATTTATATTAAATTACACTTGCATTTATGGGGAAACCGAAGAATTAACTGCTAAATAAAAATGTAACACAACATTTTAACAAGGGTAACCATAGTTTATTTTACTAATTATAGAATTAATATAGCACAGGGACTTGACTACGCGACCTTAAAACACTACTGATTTCAAGTATATATCAATTACAGAACTCAAAATACAAGGTACTGACATACATGCATACGTGTCAAGGCCTTAACAAAATGATTTCTTGATATACAGTGGGCGGCAAAGACATTTGACATTGCGTAAACAATCAGAAACTCAAGAACGTTAAATATTCCCAAGGGAAATAATTGTATCGCTATATTCTGCAAATACAACCGGTAATCGAAATTGACCTTCCTCGCTTTTCTTATTTATCTTTCAAAGATGAGGCAAACAAAACTATTCTTTAATCTACTACAGATACAAGTTACATGATATTGTCAGAACTTCACGTAGATATTTTTAAAGCCTCATGTTTATATTAATTCGAGGAAGGTATATCTAATTGACCACAAAGCCATGAGCAGAATATTACAAATAAAAGTATTAAAAAGTAATTATAAAGGTAAAGGGGTTTTACCATTCACAGTACCTGCTTGTTATTCCACGTGCTTGTTATTAGGCTTTCGTAAAAGACACTTTGGCACAAAGCCTCTTTTTAAATGTAAACTTCTTAATCATCAAGTTTTACATATGCAAGTACGATAGATCAATATATTAATATGTGTTTATACGTTATATATTTATATGCATATTAATGTGTTAATTAAGAAGTGTTGTAAAAGGTGTAGATGTGATGAACTAAGAAATAACTGCTAACATGAGAACATTAACCTGTTGTTCGTGAATCAAGCTCAGTGATTACTTAGTACCCGTTTACGTATATAACACTCATGTTGAGCTGAGTCACGAGAATTCCTTGAGGAACTTAGCTTGAAAGCCTTCGAATATCTTCAGCATTTCTTTGAGAACTTTGGGCTGTGGAAGAATTGTCGTCCTGAAGTGGTATGTGTCCGGTTTTTGGCCGAACCCTGAGCCTGGTACTACGCTGATTCCTGTAACATATTGTACACATTGGTATTGGTGGTGGGCTCCAGTTTCTACAGACGTTTCTGTTTCTCTGATTCTGTATCAGGTATGATACTTCAGAGCTAGGTGTCATGTTATAGTTCCTACAACTATTCTACTGTCTAGTCTGCTAAAACTGATCAGTCTGCAAGTAAGTCGTGGTGAGACTTCAGCCAACACCAGTTTTGACTATCTGGAGCTGTGTGAATTTTTCCACGTCCGATTGTGTTGGTTTAAAGGCAGTGGCAGAAGTTTGGTTGGGCCGGCAGCCGAAGTAGCTGAGCCCTTCCTTGCTGGCTAAGTTTGTCAGTAAAATACATTAAAATACACAAATCAAGCTGACTACAGGTTTTAAAGTTTTTATTTTGCAACTAAACCAGGATAAGGAGTTGTCTAGATAGATGTTTGTAGGAAAATTTGTAATGGTGAAAAACTACGTTTTTGCAACTTTAACAGCAAATTACAAAATAATGGGACTCAGCTGTTGCATTTTAGTTATATTATCATGGTGTACCGAGAGGAATCAAAATACGTCGAAATATCTTAGTTGGCATTTTTTTGAGAAAACCCTCCTTTTCCGGTCTAAACTGCACCTTTTTCATTCCAATTGTAAAATTTAATAAAAATGTTAAAAAAAAAACTTAGACAACATGTGTAACAAAAAGAATTTGCCTGTGGATGTGTTCTAAATGTGTAAGGACTCACCAGACTCCTCGAGCAGACGCATGGCGTAAAACACATCAGGTTCCATCTTGTTTTCCTTCGCCTTCTGAATAGCCTTAGGGGGAAGATTGATTCGAGGAAACGCATACATAGCGCCCTGACATACAAATACAAGGGATTCATTATTTTATCGATAAATTATAATTAGTGCTTCAGTGTTATTATACCTGTACGTTGTTGCAAGAGAAGCCTTCCATTCTGTTGAAGGTGTGATGGGCCATCATGGCTCTCTCCGCCAGAGACTTCAACATATACGTCTTCTCCTTATTGAAGAGGTCGTAAGAAGGATCCCCAGGGCAAGGCTCTTTGACCTGGGACACCAGATATTACAGGGAAGATTCTCTAAAATTTTCTAGTTGTCTTTAGTTCGAGTTTATTGGTGTTGATATTAATTGACTTAAAACAAAACACAGTGGTTAAGAGAACAGGAACTGGGATGGAAAGCTATTTTAGCTTCAACCTTAATTAGCCAAGGTTTATAAAATATATCTCCTCTATCCTTATAAAGAAACGCTGGTCCTTCACCCCTCAAAGGCGCTGCTTTGAAACTTTTATTGCTGTGTGTAATAATAGGTTTTAAAAACAAAATAATTGGTAATACTAACAACACAGTCTATGACAATCTGTCCTATTGTGTTTGGGCACAGTATGGCGGACATTGACTTGTATAATTGGGCCCTTACATCGAGGTCCATGTTCACAACCTCCATCCAACCTCCCCTAAGCCCACATTCGCCCATGTAGCATTTCGAAGCAGACATGAATGACGCCAGTTCGGTTTTGCAATAGGGTTCGCCCAATTCACACAATATCTGAAAAATCTTGGCTTTTTAACTTTTGTCAGTCTTGTCAGAAAAAATCACATTGACATAACAGCTGAAGATCTGCTTTTGTTGTGTTAAATTATTATATATAGAACTTATGGTATGAACAGAAAATTACTATCTAATTAGTGTTCTGTATTATATGATGTTTGCTAACTTCAGAGATAAAAAATATGCATCATATTGCAAAAGGATTTTATAGATACTCAGAGAAAACCACACAATGTTAAATTATGCAGAAAATCGATTGTAATTGGGAAAACCATCTTTACAGCTAGTTGTGAAGTTAGAACAAAGATAATGAGATAGAAAAATATGGTTGTTGGCATAATGTTACAAGTGTAACAAGTCACGGTTAATTACTTGATATTCCAAACTACAATAAATACATAAATAATAGGCACCTTTTTAAACGAAAAGAACTGACTGTTTTTATCGTAAATGTTTTGTTGATACACCTCGTCGGCGAATATGAACAGGTTTTTCTCGTGAGCGAACTTGATGACGCTCTCGATGTTCTTTCGTGTCAGGACCTGAAGATTACCACAGTTTTTTATTGTAAGAAAACATTCTACGGTAGATACTCTGGAATTTAATAAGTGATTCAGTGCCGCTAAACAATTCTACGGGCGATGTTAAAATATCAAACAAAATGATAACAGAAGCTTGTAAACTTTCGGGTGTCACGATTTTGACTGTTTTTAAACGTTGCCTTGCGGAAGGAATATTTCCTCGTATTTGGCGGTGCGGTAATATTCGTATAATACCAAAAAGCGTCCGCAAGCCGGATGATCCTAAATCCTACCGACCAATCACATTGTTACCATCGTTACAGACAATTTGGATTTACGTTGGAGAAATCAGCAATTGATGAGGTTATGTCGGTTAGGAAGATTGTCACGGAGAAATTAGCCAATAAATTTAAACTTGATATCTAATTGGGGTAAACGTAATCGCTTAACTTTTGCACCCAACAAAGCCTTCCAGCTTCTTTTGAAAGGGAACCTCAAATCACCGCCATGCATTAAATTTGACAATGGTGCTAATTTTGTTGTTCGGATACTCTCTAAACTAAACTAAAAATCACAAAAAAATTGTTTAGTACTATCATACAACTTTTCATATTCTGAAAACGTAGTACGTAGATTTTTAGTTTAGAGAGTTTTCGAACAACAGAATTAGCACAAATGTCACTGTAAAAAATAAAACCTCAGTGTGTTATTTAGAATTAGTTTTAGAAAGAAAGAAAGATTGGTTTTACAAAGAAACTTTTTGTTTATCGAACATATTAAAATAGTTAATGAAAGTCTAAAAAGAGTTTAAATTAGTCGAGTCACCATTGTGTCAATGTTCAACACCTAAATCTAACTGTGAACAGTCTGCTCATCATATCCTCTGGGAATGTAGCATTTGGTATAACGAACCTTATATAATGCTGAATAGTTTACAGGTAACATCTGGGGCGGTTTACATTTCTTGTGTCAACTGTGAGTATAGGCGATTCTGCCATACATATTATAGAAATCAAATATAGCACTTAAGACCCATAATATTTTGTGGCCGTGGTGCTGCCCTGTTTAAAAGGGTGTATGCCTATTTTACTTCATTTTGTCTCCCGCTTTGCCAAGAAGGGCAGTGGCAGTTACTGTATTTCCAACTCCTGCAATTTTCTTCTGATTAATTTCGTTGCGGGTTCTAAGACAGTTTATGTTTTTCCAGGGACTTCCGGAGTTTCATAACTCGGTGTGTTCGTGGGTCACTGCTGTTGATCCTGGTGTACAGGAGTTACAGTGCTGGGCGTGTGGGAGGGATTAATCCCATTTATAAGTTATTCAGTAAAATTTTACAGACGACTGCGATTAAACAGTATTATTATTAGTAGACGCTTTGTTTCATTCAAACAATAGGTCGGAAAGTTCATACTTTAGTTTTTTGATTTTCTTTTTCTCAAGAATGGTCTCAATATTATCAATAATTCTCTCATTTTATTAAAAATGAAAAAAAATATACTGGGAGTTCCAGTGTCACGGGCGTGTAAGTAAGAAACAAATTCTTCAATATATTAGTGTGAATTAAATCTGTCAATACATTTAAGGCTAGGATTAAACATGTGCGGACCTGACCGGTGGGGTTCCCAGGGTTAATAATGACGATAGCACGAACGTTGCACGTGGTAGCAGCGGCCGCGTAGCTACGCTGTAGCTCCTCAGCGCTCAGCCCCCAATCATTGTCCTCGTCCAGATAGTAGCCCACAGAGACCAGACCCAACTCCGCGATCGCTGCTGTGTACAGTGGGTATTGCGGTATCGGGATCATTATACCTAAAATCAGACATTTTAAGGCTCGCTGAACGACAACAGGATAAGCACATTTTCTGTTTATCAGAATATATGTGAAAGTATTGTTGCGGTCAATCACGAGAGTTGCAAAGAAAAAGAAAACTAGAAAACCCTTTTTTTTTTTTTAACGTGTGGAAATCCCCTCGGACCGTCACCCCACCGGGGTTTGCGGCGGGGTGTTGTGTCGGACCGACTAAAACCACACGGTGTGCCACTCTGCGCCTGTAATAGGAGGGATCCGGGAACAGCTGTTGTTAAGACATCCGGACCCCTCCTAGCGCCTGCCCGCTCCTGTCGACTGTGGATGGGAAACCACACTAGAAAACCCTATACCAACCCGTGTGGTGACCAGGAAATCAGGAGACCCGTCTGATTATTTGCCCCCCTATAATATAAGAAAACTATGAAATATGCGAAAACATAATTCTTGGACCAATTTTATAAAAGAATCATGTTTCTATGAGGAATTCCTGATAGAAACAAGAAGAAGAATCAACCTCTGCGTCCCTTATTCTGCAGAGGTACACAGCGGCAACAGTTAGTGTCACTTACTGTCAGGTCACCCGTCTGCTCGTTTGCCGCCTTCAGTTTAGAGGTCTCACTCTTGCCGGCAACAACTAGTTCGAGTTACAGGTATGTTAGACTGAACTGCTCCAGCTATTGCTTACACTCCAGAAGACATCTGCATCCATAAAAGCCATATAATATAATATTTTGGTGTCACCTAATAGGGATATAATAAAAAATATCACGTATACTGCACAATTTTCTTATCTAATTCCTAAAGCACCGGGTTGTATGATTATTCGCGGTTATATATTATTCGCAAAATGCGGACGATTACCCTCTACTCTGCTTATAAGAAGGCGCTCTCAAATTTTGCAGCTCTATTTGAGTTCGGCTCTTACCAGTTTTCTTTCCATCAATATTTTTGCAGAAGAGTCGCAGAATGTTTTTAATGCCCGCGGAAGCACCAGAAGACAAGCAGATGTTCTCCCAATCAGAGGGATGGCCGTCGCGTTTCGCAAGATAAGCAGCAATATTCTTGCGAATTCTCTCAATTCCCTGAGAACTAGTATAGGCACCCACTGAATAGCCCCTGAAATGCAATTTACCATTAGTCAGTTTCCCGAATTAGTGTGGTAGACTTCTACACGTCAGCTAATTAGCATATGCTAAGAGTTACTTGTGGGAAAGTCATGCTTCAACGAATATCGACCGGCTCGAGGAACCGATACCAACGGTCTTACAGTAAACCAGTATTAAGCAATTCTTTCGTTAGATTTTACAGAGTGAGGTGGCCGGTGTAAGCTTCTTTTGAGCCTCAACAACATTAACACGTGACACACACACACACTCATCTAATCCCAAATTAGGCAGAGCCCTTACAATGTAACCAGACTACTTATTAAATGTGTGTATGTACAGGTGTAACGTAAATAATGGACAATCCTACTTGGTACCTGCCGATGAGCCTGCAAGTGCGCTTTTCAAGCATGTTTTTTTTTAAGTTTCGGCCTGGTCTCAGAAAAAATGATGTAAGTAAGTAATGTTTTAAAGAAAAATCCACTTTCAGCCATTAATTTGCTTCAGTTGGCACAAATTTTGGAATTTTTGCGTTCAATTTTTAAGTAATACTGTTGCAGAATTTGTGATATGTTCATAATAATGAACTTTCTATTCGTATCGGCTATGTGTTGTCTGAAGAGCGGTCTTATTAATAAGAGCGATCTCTTCCACGCAACCTTGATGGATCAAAATGTTTCGGAGAGACAATATTAGTTAAAGGTGTATTTGAGTTTACAAGTTCAATATTTTTTGTTTAAACAAAACTATTTAACTATATGTACCTACCCACATGATTCTAAAATTTCACAAGCCCTCGCCTTCACGTCAGCGGGGAAACAGTAGGTCTCTATGAGCGTCGGGCATACTGCGCAGGCCACCACCTAAGAAAGCAGTGTTTTAAATAATGGATCCAGACTTACATCAATTTAAATTTTACAAAAAATAATCATCACTTGGTATTCTGGTATGAAATTCCCTTTGGAAGTCAAACTAGGTATACAACTGACCTGTCTGATAAATGTTATAGGTGGCTGTCCCATGGCGTGTACATCTCCGATGTTCGCTTTGATCACATTTTTAAAAGGTTTCTTGGCACCCTACCAAAAAAAAAAATTTGAAATTTAGACCGACCAAACAGAAATTAAAAACGAATAACTATGAAATAAATTTACTACATACGCTTTGTAATTCTTTCTCGATTTCACGAGCACGAATATCAAGAGGACCACGAACAGCATATTCCATGGCTAATATGTTAGGGCTGAGTTTATCTATAGTCAGAGTCTTGCTGCTAACTTGAGAACATCTATTTGAGCCCCCGTGACATTTTACGTGTCTGTACATGGAGCGTATATTTTCTAGATGTACCGAATAACTTCCTATTAGCAACTTAACACTGCGGATGGAGTTGGTCAAAAATTCGGAATGCGATGTGTGTAACGACATTTTCTGTAAAAAAAAATTAAAAACATGTCACTACACATTTACAACAATTGAAAAATATTATAAAATAAACAGAAAAAAGAATGCAAACGGGCAAATATTAGTCTGTTGAATTTGAATATATGTTTACTTAAATAATTTAGAAATGTACATCCTGGCGGTTTTGTTTGACAGCGGTGACGCTGACATGATGTTCAGTGAATTTGTCAGTGACATAGGGTTGGTATACTCATTGCATGGCAGTAATGCTTCGACTCAACCATAGTCAAAAACAAATTAGAACTTAGAACTTCAATGTAATTACTAAACGAAGAATACAAAAGACTATGGCGAGATTAAATTTATATCACTTACATGAAGTAAATTCTAACATCTACCTCTTGTTCTAATTTTTTTCTTGTTCTCCCAGCCCCTGTATCCAAAGATAAAGTGTGAATCCTACTTTGTGAAAAGAAACAGGTGAAATTATTGAAGATTATATTGATTGCTATTGTGGTGGTCGCCCTATATTAACGAGTAGTAAAATTAATAGAATGTTTCACAAAAACTTCGAGCATACCAGAATTTTTCACGATATTCTAGAAGTTTATAGATAGATATTGAGTCGGTTTGTGACTTTCACTAATTTTCTGGGATTTTCAATAAAGCAAGCCCGACCGTATATATAAAATTCTATATACCCCCAAATATGCCCCTAAAATGTATTGTACGAACATTAATAATCATACCACGCTCAGAATACCATGTATCTGGTCGAGGATATCTAGGCTGCCAGCGTTTTCTGGGGGGGGGCGCAACTGAGCTCAATAAATGTATCCGCGGCAAGAGCAGGCACATTAAGTTACCCCTTACACATTAGTTACGCTAGACGTGAACTTTTGCAATATATCATGGGCCTACAGTCCAATCTTAACGCTATCCACGATCACCTCAAGACAGTGATGCCATGCCTTGCTCTTCTTAACCGTGACGCAGATTGTACCTCCATGGGACACATCCCACCTCTCCTACCCTGGCTCTTATCTGGAACACTCCTTTGTTTCTAGGGCTAGCGTGTGCGTGTACGTTAGAGGTTATATCAGTTCTCGCCGCCTCGGCAATCTTGACGGTCGGAACCTCTCCATCTTGTGGCTCAAAGGGCTACAGATTCTGTGCTGCAGCAGATCCCATCCGCAGAGATCGTGATTGGCTTGGCTTACGCAAAACCGATTACGCGGGGTGATCTCTTGACGATTTCACCCTGAAATATGGCTTACCACAACTAATATCAACGCCCACGCGAGTCCCAGATGTACTAGGCATGCCTTTTAAGTTCTGTCGTTTCCATGTTTCCCGCCAATTTTGAATTTGGAACTTTTCTATATTCGAATGTGTTTAAATTTTGAATCTCAAAACAGTTGAAAGTATTAGGATTAATGCTTTGTTTAGTCACAGCGTCGATTGGAATCTGTCAGGTTACGTACGAAACTGAATCTTTCTAAGGAAAATGTTCGTGCAATAATTTTCTACAACTTTAGAAGAGGCCTGAAAGGGCTTCAGTGTTTTGAAGAGCTAACATCTGTGTTCAGTGATGAAGCCCCATGTCTGCGGACTGTCGAAGGCTGGTATTTAGAATTCCAGCGTGAACATACTAGTGTTAGTGAGAAATCTCGCGAAGGACGCCCAAAATCCGCCTTCACTGAAGATAACATCATTGCTGTGAGACAACTAATTCTCGAAGATCGTCATGTGACGTATCGAGAGATAGAGGCTCTATTAGGCATCTCAGCGACAACCATTCAGAAGATCTTGCATGAAGCGCTTGGTGTGAGAAAGCTAGTTTGCCGTTGGATACCGCATCTGCTTTCCGACGATCACAAGGCGGCCCGCGTCAGATGGTGTAAGAAAACTCTGCAAAGGTTCAACCGAGGAGAGTCAAATCACGTCTACGACATCATCAGTGGTGACGACTCTTGGATCTATGCCTACGATCCTGATTCCAAACAACAATCTACAATCAGGGTCTTTCAAGACGAGCCAAAGCCGACTAAAGTTGTTCGTTTTCGAAGCACTTCAAAGAAGATGGTGGCCACGTTCGTTGGAAAAACCGGCCATGTTGCGACTATTGCTCTTCAAGATCGTAGAACGATTAACGCAGAGTGGTATACCACAGTTTGTTTACCACAAGTCATCGCCGAACTTCGAAAATCTATCTCAAAGCGACGCATCATCCTACACCACGACAACGCAAGCTCACACAGCGCTCGTCAAACGATTGAGTATTTGAAGCAGGAAAAAGTGTAATTCTGACCATCCTTCATACAGTCCTGACCTAAGCCTTAACGATTTCTTTACATTTCCTAAAATTAAGAAAAGTCTTCGTGGTCAAAGGTTCTAGTCCGGTGAAGAAGCAGTCGACGCTTTCAAGTCAACCATTTTGAACACCCCCACTTTAGAGTGGAATAAATGTTATAATAACTGGTTTGAGCGAATGGAAAAGTGTATTAAGCTACGTGGTGAATACCTTGAAAATTAATAAAAAGTACTACGAGTAAAAGGTTCTAGTTGTGTTTCTTGCTACAAACGACAAAACTTGAAAGGCATGCCTCGTAGAAAGTCATGACCCTTCACTGCTGGACCTTCTGCTGACCTCTGATCCGGCAGGCTACCAAGTCACCGTTGAGGCCCACTTGGCTCCAGGTCCCTCAAAAGAGGGTAAAGTCAAAATAGCCTCGAAGAAGCTCGTCGTGCTGAACAGATCGAGGCAGTATTTCGATACGGCCACCGCCTCCAACTCTATAAGGAGCAAGTCTAGCCGCATATGGAATACTGTTCTCATCTCTATGCATAGGCACCCCAGTACCAGATTCTCCCTCTGGACCATATCGATATGGTCGATAGCCAAAAGATCTCTGACCGGCTCGATCCCTTGGTGTTATGTACAGATGTAGCTTCACTCTGAATTGTATATCGTATATATCATGGAGAGTGCTCCGAGTAATTGTTCGGACTAATACCGGCTGCAACTTTCCGCCATCGTTCTACACGGAAAAATTATTCGGCACTTTTCAAGACACTTTTTGCCCCACACAACCAACCTGTGGAACAAATTATCGTCTGCGGTATTTCCTGACCGATACGACCTTCAAATCTTCAAGAAAAGAGCGTACTATTCCCTCAAAGAGCGACAATGCGCTTGTAACTCCCGAGTTGCAGGTGTACATGGGCGTCGGTAGTCACTTTCCATCAGGTGATCCGTCTGCTAGTTTGGCCCCTCTTCCATAAAAAAAGCGATGTTAATTCAATAATGCGAATGTCACTATGAATTAGTAGAAGCTTGTATGTTTTGTTTCTATGTAACATTTGAGTACTGGAATTACAGAATAATAATAATATATTGCTTTATTGTACACCAGATATAAATATACAATAATTACCTTAAACTAGTTAAGTACAAGGGACGGTTAGTACAGAACTCAATAAAGATCAATAAATTGTGAACTCAACGCACTTTCAGGGTAGTTTTTTTAAATATATATTCTAGCGTTATATGCTTAATCTCCACCTGAATTAAAAGATAGCGCGAAATAGAAAGTGGATTATTAAAAACAGGAAGGCACTTTAGAGAGAACAGGATCTGTTACTACCCTTCTATGTGGGCAGTTGAGCTGACCAGCACTACTTTGCCATGCTGACCCAGCAATAGAGCTCTTGATGTACGGCTTGAACACTGGGAAAGCCTCATATTATCATTTCGGTTCGGGTCGGATCCTTTATTTTTTACTTAATAATTACCGCACTGGAAGTATATCCTATATCGCGGGGGGACCCTCACCACTCTCTATTCCATTCTCAACTCGTCCATTCTTACGTCAGTAAAATGCATGATATTGTTTTTCAGGTATTTATTAATAAATAGTTAAAACAAAGGTCAAAAGCTACAATAACAACCAAAAAATTACAAAAGAAACACGACGTTGAATTTACCATCAGAAAATTTAATTTTGTTGATTTTTGTTCAAATATTTAATGAGATTCTGATTCTTGTGGTTGTATCTTATTACTCTACGATGCATGAACAAACTAGAACCTTCCTAAGTGAGCCAATTACGTAACGAAAGTAAAAAATACAAACGCGAAAATTCCTATGATGTTCATAATCCATTCTCAATCAAATTAATTTCAAGATGTTATTGAGACGTTCAGTCTTTCCGAATAAATAAACAAATGCCATCAAATACAGTACAGTACACACAGATAGAGCTACGAATATTCTTTGGTGAATTTGATGTGGAAACTCTGAAATGTGTCCAGCATCAGCTTGAGCAGATCGGGCTGAGGGAGAATCGTCGTCCTGAAGTGCCACGTCCCTGGCTTTTGGCCAAACCCTGTCCCGGGGATTATGCAAATACCTGCAACCATTTAATTAGAAAACAATTTTCATCTGACAAATATTAATGGGGTTAACAGAAAAAAGTTAAAATTCTGACCTGAATTTAAAAAATGAAAACATTGGTCTGAAGTAATAGGGAATATGCATGTTTTTTTTAACGTTTCTTCTAGTTATTACATTGCTAAAAATAAATATAACACGACCGAAATATAACATATTGAGCTAAAAAAATTAAAAAAATCATCATTATGGCGCGCTTATTCTGTGACGTTAGATTAGAGAGTTCGATGTCAATAGCGAAGTGTTTGGTTCACAAAGTAACTAAAAGTTAAAAAAGTGAATGATAATACCAACTTATTACCATCGAACGCACAGAAAAGTTTATTATAAACTAGCTGAGACCCGCGGTGTTACCCGCGTTTGTTGTTATAACCGCGGGCAACGCCGCAGGACGAAGCTAGTCTAAAAAAGTAGCCTAAGTTACTCCTTATGTCATCAGCTATCTGCCAGTGAAAGTCCCGTTGAAATCGGTCCAGCCGTTCCAAAGATTACCCGGAACAAACAGACAGAAAAAACTGACAGAAAAAATTGTAAAAAATGTTATTGTGGCATATGTACCGTGTAAACATACATATGCATTTAGTAAAAAGCGGTTATTTTAATATTAAAAAGTGGTGCAAGGCGATGAGAAGAGACAATGCATGTTGTTTTAGCTATAAAGGTCATTTCTACTTAGATCCTGCACATATATATATTTTTTCAAACTTCGACGAAAACGTAACCTAGTTTAAAAGATTTATTTATTAGTTTTATTGGAAGTTGCTTCACGTTCGGGTGGGAACGTACAGCGGATGGGGGCTCTTTTTGCGGACACTTATTGCTACAGTACGCACGCACTTGCTTAATTCTTTTAAATTAAGCAATAGATTTTAATGCCGTTTTGACCAATAGAGAGGGTGATTCAAGAGAATGTTTAAATGTATAAAACATGCATATTATAGTAGAAAAAAGCCGAGGATTTCAGATTTGCGATTTATTATTCCTTATCCAATTAAAACTGGACTTAATTGGACTGCGATAGGCTGATGATGATGATGATGATCCAATTAAAAACTTAAGATACGCTCTGCATTTAATGTAGATTAAAGGCATATCATTAAAATGAATATTTTAGAAGATACTAGAGGTTTAAAATGCGGGGACACAGTGGTCGTCGCATGTCGCCGCGTTCGTCGTCGGGCCGTACGTCAGTCCCGGGTGGCAACGGCCGGCAGGAACGGAGCGGTATAATTACCAGCGATCGGCCCCGGCTTCCCACGGGTGCAATGTAGATGCTATTAATACTACTAATGTGGTGTCAGTGTGGAGTAATTAATTATACTATTATTATGAATACAATATTCTCTCACTCCGGCTCACTCCGATCCTGCCTGCCGCTGCCACCCGAGAAGATAAAAGATAAAAATGGTTACTGTGGGTTATCCTTAGGAGATGAGCCATGTACCATCGCGCAGTTTTTTAACCGACTTCAAAAAGAAGCAGGCTCTGTGTTCCACTGTATGTATTTTTTATGTATGTTTACCGATTACTCCGTCCATTGTGGACCGATTGCCAAAATTATTTTTTTATTAGAAAGAGCATAGTTCTGAGGTAGCCTCTTTGTCACGAAGTCAGGATCTGATGAGGGGATCCCAAGGAATTCGAAGGCAACCCTCAAATTTTATAGCCACGTATTATGTGTTTCATATATTTTTTAAAGCTATTCTAGTATTTGTGTCTGGTAGTCATTATCTCGTGTTGATGAGCTGATGATGGAAAGTACAACTCCTAAGCGGTAGGAGTGGAGGATAGTTCTTTAAATACCATATGTATGTTTAGACTTCTACTTGTATTCTTTCAAGTGATTCAGGTGAGCTGATGATGGAAGGTAAAACTCCTTAACGGTTAGGAGTTAGATTAAAATGCCTAAATAGTAACCTTTAATGTACAGGAAAGAAAAGACATGCAAAGCTGAGGGTTGGGTTAGCAACCTGCACTACATACCTTGCTTGTCTTAGTGTTCTAATTTAAATATTTACAATTAGTCTTAATCGTAGCTTTTTTTGGCCTTGTGTGGCTCTGAGTCTCAAAGAGTAACATCATCATTATGCCATCTTTACTTAGCGCAACATAAACATTGGGACCTTTGGGAAACCTTTGCGAGTTTTAGGGTAGTGCCCTGGAGTTTATGCACCGTAACCGCCTAACTGAGGATTAGCAGTAGCATTCTCGGTTCAACATCCCCGTAGCTTTTAGTTGCCTGCTAGGTTTATCAGGCTACTAAAAGCTACGGGGATGTTGAACGGGGTTAGTTACCATAGCGCCACCATACGACATTATGCTGTGCTATTATAAAAAAAATGAAGTAAGCAAGTCGTGTTCTATCAACATCAAGTTTTCTTTCTCATCAGTTAAGTCTCGATTTTTTCTTACTGCTTATGCTGCTGATCTGAGTTTACTCGATAATTTATCTTGGAAAAAAACTTCGTTCCGACCGGGGGTCCATAGACCCCTCACAGTGTTTTTTATTTCTGGGGTTTAGATTGGAAATAATTACGAGTAGGTATATGTATTAAACAATTTATGATTATCATAAAAACGTCTATTTTAGGAAGATCATATTCTGATTGTGCTTTGAAAAACCGGTTTTAGTAATTTTATTAAGTCTTTCTTCACAACAAGGATTTTATACTTTAACACAGAAAACTAATAACGTAATATGAAACAACCGCGAAACAAAATAAAATAATAATCACCATAAACCTTACAAACAACTTGTTAACAGAAGACGTCGAGTGAAATTGGCATCCCATTTTGTCCCACCAATATCGTTGCATTTTATAAATTTGGGAATTTAAAAAAACCACTTTCTGATGATTAAATTTTGCTATTAAATTATGATAAATTTCAAAAAATAATTGTGTAGATATCTTCTTCTGCAATAATGTTTACAAATAAAAAGATTTTGGAGTCACGTGCATATTCCCTATTGTATGCAATTTACTTTTTTAGCCTACCTTGAAACATTGTTTTTGTTGAGATAAAAGCTTTTAAAACTATTATGTGACCTGGATAGATTTTCTAGTCTCTTCAAGAATTAGTCTAAAGTTTAATTAGAATATCCAAAAACATTAAAAAATAATGTAACTTCCCTGTACTAAATAGTGGAATCGAGATGGTATTAAAAGTACTAGCCAAAGAACAATCATGTCAATGAGATACTAGTTGTGTGATGTTATAGTTTCTGCGTAGATTTTCCCCTCTTGAATTCGAACTGTTTAGCAGAGATTAGGATTATGGTATGGCTTTTAATGAGTTTGTCCATGTTGGTTCACATTAACGTAACATTTCGGGAAGTTTTAGTAGACGGGTGGGTTAACCTACCGGTCTCCTCGAGGAGGCGAAAAGCGTAGTACACATCAGGCTTCTGTTTTTTCTGCTCCGCAGCCTCTATCGCCTTCGGGGGTAACTTGATCTGCGGGAAGGCGTACATAGCGCCCTGCAATAAAACCACGAGGGATCGCGTTTACATATTTTTGTAGCGATAACCATTAGTTCTGTAGTGATTCGTTACCTGTACGATGTTGCACGTGAATCCTTCCATCTTATTGAAGGTCTCGTAGACCATTTTAGCTCGCTGCGCCAAAGATTCGAGAATGTGCAATCTCTCCTTCTCGAAAAGCTCATATGACGGATCCCCGGAAACGGGATGGCGAACCTGCAGGCCAGTCAAACAATTTCGACTACAATGTAACAACACTATCTTCATTTTAGCCAATTACCTAAACTAAAGTTTTTGTCTTACAACTTGTTCTGCGTTCATGCCTTAAGTATTGAATGAGGATATTCCTTATACACGTTATCAGGGGTAGAGGCGAAATTATTTTCCTACGTAATTAATGCCATTCTTAGATACAAAATAGCTGTATAAAACGTAACATTTGTAAGATTTTTTTTTCTGTTCTTTTAAAAAAATGATAAACAAAATTTAAAACTTTAATAAACTTTTATCATGTGATCTTGTATATAAGAAGCGCTCTAAGAAGCAAAAAAATTATAGGTCAATTATTTAAACTTTTAAGTCGACTTTGATAAGAACAGACTTTTGATAAAAAATTTGATAAAAATCATAGTTTTTTCCTACGGGGCTTTATTTTTTGAAGTGTTCTGATGACACCATTTTTTTTTTTAATTTTTTAAATTAAAATTAAATAGATCATTTTTTATTGGAAACTTTCTAGTTTTTAAAGAAATAAAAAAAACTTAATATTAATAATTTTTGAGTTATTAACGAAAACCTGAACATTTTTTTATCTGATTTTTCTAAAAACAATTGCAATTTATTATGTGCTAATAAATTCTAGAGGTACCTTTTCTACACGTCATTCCGAAAAGAATGAGCCATTTTTAGGACCAGAAACGAGAACCAAGAACAAGAACTTTTTAACTTGTTGACTAGACTAAATAAAGAAAACAGAGTTGCTGTGAGCCAATTGTCATTTTTTAAACTCGCCATCTGCTTGATGAATGCTTGTGTACCGGGCTATTGATAGGTACAATAAAACCTCCTCTGTCTATGACAGAAAAAGATCTCATCGTCCATGTAGTATTCGTATGAAATAGGATAACAAATCAGTGAAGGAAAGAAGCCGAAGAAATCCTGTCGGAAAGCAAAGCCATGTTGCGTATTTTAAAAGACGACTTAAGACTTGCAGCGACTTTAGAGGCGCACTGACCAGTGCCATAAGTATGACCATACTTTATGCACAAATGTGACAAAGGCGGACTTAATGCCGTAGGCATTTTCTGCCAGTCGACCTTAGGGCGATGCTAAAAATGGTAATAAAAAAAGCGGTAGATGCACAGAAATTAAGAATGTGATTTTATGAAAATATAGCATAAATATTTTTAAATTGTTATTTGATTGATAATTTAAAAATTAAGAAGATAATAAAATTAAAATAACTTCTAAAGCAGTACGCATAGGCAGGTCACAGAAATAATTTATTTAATGACGAGAATTTTTACTATTGACCAATATTTTAACAAGCAGAATTTATAGGATAGGAAGGTGTATCCCAATCCAAAAAAATTTCAATGATAGTTTGGTGGAGTGTAAGCTATCAAGGAGTGACTGAGCCATATTTCGGTGAAAAGGGTGTCAAAACATTGGCACAAGTACAGGGCACTCTTAATAACACCGTGTTCCAAAACCAAGAAAGTCCCTTTCAGCAAGACTCGACAGGAAGCGAACGTTTCTTACTTTATCAGAGCAAAGGTTGGCCATCATACAGCACCGATCTTAATCTGTTGGATTACGATTTATGGTCAGGTTTAATAATAATAATAATCATTTATTGCAGAAATTACATTTTTACATTTTTCAGACAACAAAATCACAGTAAATTATTTAATAATTTAAATAATACGGTTAAAAACAAACATTCAAATAATATGATAATAATCACACATTCACAGGCAAGTAAATTATAATATTAGGCAATCGTATAGTACATTATTTTATATGTCACATTTATTGAACGTCAGATATAATACACCGCTTTAACCACAGAATTTCCAGTGTTTCTAATTCGATCCATGAGCTTTTTCGGGGTCGGGATGGCGCCACTTGCCGTGTAAACAAGTGCTCCGTGATTATAATTTGCTAAAAAATAGTTAATTTAATGTAACGGGAACGACATTGTGATATATGAAAACTTTAATTGCCGATAAACATTAACTAACGTTATCTCAGTGTTGTGAAAACATTTAGTGACTAAAATATTAAAAACAAAAATAACATCTAATGGTAACGATCATAAACTGTCCTAAAACAAAATGGTATTTTACAATAGTGAACTTTCTCAATAGTTACTAACTTTTATACGAACTTAGAAGTTATAAGTGTTTACATAAAAAAGTGCATTAGTATATAAAACAGCAAAGTAACGGTTAGAAAAAAAATATTTTAAAAATTTCAAATTAAGTGCCAAATCGTGCCACAGACTAAAAAGCGCGGATCGAGTAGCTAATCATTATTTGGGCAAGAAGTGCAATATAACCTCGCTAGAGGGCACTACATGAGTTGGCACTACAAAAATAGAGTTCTGCCATCTTTGAGAACATACGAGAACTACTTCGTCTATTTGACAACCTGGAAAGATTCGACAACAGACTGCGATAAAGATTGTCAACAGTATCATAAATACGATAATAGGGGGCGCAAAGCATAACAGGTGTTTTGCATAATGGGGGATAAGATCATACAACTGGCTCGTAACATTATCTTGGCGATAAGCGAAGGAAAGACTGTATCAGCTGCCAATAAAAGAATAATAAAGGAAGCCGCTGACGATATCATCACCACCTGTCAAAACACTCCTTCCGCTACTGTTACCGCCAACTCTTGTCAACCAACTGTGTTTCCTGAAGAAGCCTTAGACCAACTCAAAAAGGAACTAATACATGAGATACACACCACAATTATAACTACTCTAAAACATTCTAATAAACAACAATCTCCCGCTCAACCTACAACTACCACCGGCGCCAGCTACGCCAGTGTCACAAGAGCCCAGTTCACAAAGAAACCAGCACTCATAATTAACGCAGCCACACGAACATCTGCATCCTCATCCCCATCCACAACCAACAATCAAAGTACTATTGAGGAACTAAAGACCCAGATTACATTTAAAGACAAAACCTACGCTCCATCCAAGATCCAACCTATAACCAGAGGAAGGGTATACCTGGAATTTAACACCACTCAACAACAAAAGGAAACTCAGCAACTCATCAACCAAACAAGTAATCTGAAGGCAGAAGAAGCTAGACGTCGTCCGCCACTTGCCATCCTCAAGGGCATATACAAGGAAACCAACAAAGAAGAACTAACTAAAATAATCTGCCAACAAAACTCCATTCCCATCCCTGATATCCGCCTCTGTTTTCTTACCAGCAATAGATCTGAAAAACTTTACAACGCAGTTGTTGAATTAACCCCAACAGCATATCATAAATTAATCCAACAAAACAGAGTAGCAGTTAACTTCCAACAAGTTCACATAGAACCCTTTTCGAGATTCACGCAGTGCAGAAAGTGCCTCCAGTTCGGACACTCACAAAATAAGTGCACAGCGACTATCCACCCTTGCGCCGTCTGCGCCGACGAGAACCACCAAGCAGCTGAGTGCCCCCACAAGACAAACAAACAGTTCGTTTGCTACAACTGCACAAAATATAACAGCAAAACAGGAAGTAAATTACCCACTAATCACGCCGCCAACAACCAAGCTGCCTGTCCTAGAATACGCCTCACCAAGGAAAAAATTGAAGAGACTATTGACTACGGAACAGGTATACCACCATCAACATCACAACAGCCATCAGGATCAATAGACTTCCGCCAATTATCATTCAGTGTGTGAGCTCCCTTAACGGATAGCAATAATTCTTTGTGCCGCAGGATCATAAATTAACTATTTCATATTATCGCGTAATTGTTTCGACTAAACTAATTAATAAGTTTCTTTTATTTGTTATGTATAACTGTGTACAAAATACAGTAAGTTAATACGCTCTTATGTATAACATTCATCACAACAATAACAATAACACACACACTACTTACACACATGGACACCCTAACACTCACACTCCAACCCATATTAATACTCCACCCACCCGTCACACCATTCAGAATAGACCTCAAAGGCAGAAAAACCCATCACCGACACTCACACTCACGCAAGCTAACCTGGGGCGCGGATACGCTGCTACGCATGAATTAATAAACCATACTCTACAAAACAACACCGACTTAATCTTTATAAATGAGCCATACGTCGGGAGCCAACCTACCATGAAAAATACAGCAGGATATATCACACACCAATATCCAAATAACACACACACCAAGGCTTGTATTCTAACCAAAAACAATATAGGAACCGCACTAGGCCTCTCACAATATTCTACACCCAACCTATGCTCTGTACAGTTGACAACCAAACAAGGGAAAAGATTAATTCTAACATGTATATACATAGAACCCAACATAGATACAAACAGCACACTGAATAAACTACAAGCATTACTTAACGATACTCGAGACGCCGCACACATCATTGCCGGCGACTTCAACGGGTGGCACCGTATGTGGGGGTCAACATCCAACAATCAAAGAGGAGAGGAAATAGTAGACCTCCTACACACGAATAATATCGTCGTACTCAATACGGGAACCTCACATACATACGAGAGCGTGGCCCTCGGCCGAATTAGGGGCTCTATTGTTGACCTTACCATCGTCAGTGACAATATTGCCTGTTACGTTGACGGCTGGAGGATCGACCATTCCATCTGCCCCTCATCCGACCACCATGCCATAACTTTCACATTACACTACTCACAACATTTCAAAACTAACCCCAAAACAAGCACATTTAGATACAACACTAAATTCTATAGAAATTGGGATGAACTAAAGGAGCATTTTAAAGAAGAAATACTACATACGGACCTACATTCCACCGACTGCAATACTCTAAACACACAACAGGACATAGACATGTACACTAAAAAACTTACAAAATTCATACAGAACACCTGCAACCTACATCTACCACGCACAGGTCGAGGTTCGCCACGGTCACCCTGGTGGACCGACCAACTAGACATCATGAAACAACAGGTGATAGCAAACCACCATAAATTACAACAGCTCAAACATAAAAACCAACCACTCACCGATGCTCTCGCTGAAAGGGACACCCTCAAAGTAGCATACGCTCAAGCAATCAAAATTGCTTCGACTGAACACTTTCGGGAATTCTGCAATAGACAGGGTAAAGAAAATGTGTGGTCGGTTACCAACCGAATTATGAAGAGGGCGCCTCCTCAGAGGCCACCGTCAACCATTGAACTGTCACCCGGCATACATACCACATCGAGTCACCAAACTGCAACAGCTTTCCTCAATAAGTTTTACCCTGATGACACACCTGACACTCCCACACAGAACTCCACTCGTAATCAAACGCACAATCCACCCGACACTGAAGACGATGCTCCATTTACACAACATGAAATAACTACTATCTTGAAAAACATGAATCCCTCCAAATCCCCGGGTGCAGACCACCTTACTTCTGACATTTGTTATCAGTTTGCTCTATGTTTCCCTGAAATCATCACTGGGCTCATGAACCGCTGCCTATCAATCTCTGTTTTCCCCAAAACATGGAAACATGCAATAATTAAAATAATTCCGAAACCCAATAAATCCAATTACACTTCTTCATCCTCATATCGCCCTATAGGACTTTTACCTATACTGGGTAAAACACTTGAAAAATTAATTACTCAACGCCTCACACATCACCTAAATATTACACATACGCATAACACAAGACAATATGGATTCAAGCAACAAACCTCTACAGTACACGCACTCACCAACATAGTCAATACTATCAAAACACACAAAAAGAAGGGATTACATGTCGCGATGATCTCCCTCGATATTAAAGCTGCATTCGATCATGCTTGGTGGCCTGCCATACTCGCACGATTACACCACACCAAATGCCCTAAAAACATGTACACCATCATCCAAAATTACTTATCAGATCGTACGGCTACCCTATTATATTCTGACGCCACCGCCACTAAACAACTAAGTAGGGGATGCATCCAGGGGTCTGTATGTGGGCCGACCTTCTGGAATCTGATTTTGGACGAACTACTGGACATGTCCAGTGACTCGTCTGAGAGCAGACTTCCGGAGGGGTGCCAGCTGCAGGCCTTTGCAGATGACATCACTCTAATAGCCGCACACAAAAAGCTCATCACTCTCCAAAACAATATCAATCAAAGTTTACAGACCATTCAAGAATGGGGCAACACTAATAAAATTACCTTTGGACCTGACAAAACCATCGCTTTAGCCTTCACTAACAAAACTAAACTTCTTCACTTAACCATGAACAATACGCACATCCCATTCAGCCGGACTGCTAGAGTTTTGGGGGTGATCATCGACGACAACTTACACTTCACACAACATGTAAACTATATCACTAACAAAGCACGTATTCTACATAACACACTCACTAAATTCATCAGACCCACCTGGGGAGTACACTCTCAAAACATACTCACACTCTATAGGGGGGTAATCGAACCCATAATATGCTACGCTTCCAGCGTATGGCACACTGCTCTAAATTTCAAAACCAACTGTAATAAACTATTATCACTACAAAGAGGGTTTGCTCTCAAAATAATTAGAGGATTCCGCACCATTAACACCATTAACGCCATAGCAATATCTACACTCACACCACTTGACCTTAAAGTCAAAGAAAGAGCACGAATCGAATCAACTAGAATTACAGGGCTCACCGATTGCCTCCCACTCGATGTCACACTTGATACACCTACTGAACCATCTCATTTACTTCACCCGGCACACAGACAACCACACTCCTTTGACATTATCAGTACACAAACTGAATTAGACGACATCTTAATCAATCAACAACATGCACACCACATCTACACTGACGGCAGTAAGCACGACGACTTAGTGGGAGCTGCCGTTGTGGTACGTACTCCACAAAACACCCGTATCACCAGAACATACAAGCTACATTCATCGTGTACTGTCTTTCAGGCTGAACTGGTGGCCATCGACCAAGCCTGTCAGTGGTTACACAAGCAACAGGTTGATAAAGCTTTCATCATGTCGGACTCCAGGTCAGCTCTGGAAGACATTAGCAACACTTATAGCACACATCAAGTTACCACTAACATACAAAAGTTTTTGCATACCACACACACACAAATTAACTTTGTATGGGTTAAAGCTCATACGGGCATACACGGCAATGAGGCTGCTGACATAGCCGCTAAATCTGCGGCCTCCGAATCCTACTCACCCATTTTCAAGCACTTCCCGATAAGCTACGTCACAAAAAAGGCCAAAACTGACAGCCATGACGTAGCCTGTAACAGATATGCTGATAATGTCAAAGGAACCATTATTAAAACTTGGTGCCCATCACTTACACACCTATATAAACTTATCGACATAACAGGACACACATTCGCACTCACACAATTACTCACCAACCACGGCTACCACAAACAATACCTACACAGATTTCATATTACAGACGACAACACCTGCCCCTGCGACAACACAACTACCCAGACATTTAGACACCTCATTACGGAATGCCCACGATACACTCGCACAAGACTCAACCATGAACAACTCTGTCACCACTTTAATTTAGACCCATATAATTTAACATTACTGATCACCAACAACACCGCCATCCATACCTTTATGACTCACCTCACCCTTATAGTTAACACACTTAAAGAATTTAATAACACATAACGCACTCAAATATTTCTGTATCAAATAGCAGAATGTACCATAATAATTTAATAAACTCCCCCTCATGGTGGTTTAACCGTGAGGGGAAACTATAAAAAAAAAAAAAAAAAAAAAAAAAAAAAAATTCGATCCATGAAAGAGGTGGCCCTTTTCCTCATCACCGCATAGAAATTATCCACCCTATTTTCGGCGAACTTACGCGCTACACCGCCATGGTAGATTTAGCATGGCCCTGAAGGCGTTGCTGTACTGCACGCGCAGTGCGCTGTAGGGGCGCTCAGTGTAGTTCTTCCATAAGTAGCAAGTATAGAACGCCTGACAGTACGCCGTGAATAGGGTGATTTTAATAGCTTTACTACACCGAACGAAACGTCGTGCCAACATGTTGCTTTTAGCAGCAATGGATCTTCTTTGCCTTTCCATGTCATCATCATAGATTATCTCTAAAAACATGACCGAGGTATTTAAAAGTCGATACTATTTTTAATTGTGACCCGGCTAGGGTGATTACTAGGACAAATGTACTAGACTTGTCGTACCTAAATATCATAACTTCTGTCTTTTTTACATTATAGGTAAGCCCATGGGCTGGCAGTTTTAAAGAGTATGGCATCCTTTCAATGCCATGATAATTTGGAGTCCCTAAAACGATCTATAAGATTGGCAGTGAAGAGTTTTGTGAGAGAATGGAGAGAGTGCGTGTTCCTATTGATAACTGGCTATTAACGTTTAAAGGGCTGTATGAAAGCCAATGGAGATCATTTTCAATGAGCTTTATATATTTTTATTGCTATTATTTCAATGTTCAACTAACATATGAGATTGGAAATACCAAGGCATTCTACCAATTTCTACACAAAGTCATTTTCCGTAGAAGCTGTACGTTTATGGAATGCCTTGCCTGTTACTATAAGACGTGCGCAATCCGTAACCACCTTCAAGACTATGCTATATGAGCATTATCTGTCTCTAATAGTTGAAATTTAGCGTATGTATATATTAACGTATGTATGTGTAGTATTTATGTATAAATATAGATTAGTAGTATTTATGTAAAAAAAATATATATATTTTATAGGTTAAGACCTTATTTACTTCTCTAATTTACGTATACCTATCACCATTTCAAAATGAATCCATCCAAAGGTTGCCTGGAAGAAATTGCACTAAGCGATAAGGCCGCCCTTTGTACATTACATCGGTCATTAAGTACTGTATAATGTCTGTAAAACATATACACGTACATTGTACACGTACAAATAAAGTATTTATCTATATATTACAATGATAAATGTTTTATGCAATAGAAAAATAAAAGAAGTTTCCTTAAAAACATTCATGGCATGAATAAAATAACATATGTCATCATCAGTTAAAGTCAAACTTAGAAGATTTTCTACAAATCTCTTTACGCGAATTTAATTGTTTTAAAAATACAGATTCAACTTTTTAATTCAGTTGTGAACCAAATGTTTGTGGTTAGCAATGTCAATACTTACAACACAGTCCATGACGACCTGGCCCAAAGAGCTGGGACAGAGCCTCGCAGATAAGGCCTTATACAAGTTTGCCTGTACCCCAGGGTCCATGTTAGTCAACTCCATCCAACCTCCTCTGATGCCACACTCGCCCATGTAACACTTCGAAGCAGACATGAAGGAGGCCATTTCTAGTTTATTGTAGGGGTCCCCCAAATCATTTATCACCTGAAATGTAATCGTCTATTTATTAAATTATCAAAATTAACCAATCAATATATCTATATACTTCTAATATCTATTGACTTGTTTTATGACAGGCATCTGATGATAAGTTGTATTTGTATGCCGTCCGTGGGCGGTGGTAGTCACTTTCCATCAGGTGACCCGTGTGCTCGTTTGCCCATTATATTATAAAAAAGTGACAACCTATGGATTAAGGCGCATCTCAAGAGACAAGTACGTTGACCTCCCCCTAATACTGGGGAGGGGGGGGAGGTTGGCTCTATGAACCTCACTCACATGGTGAAAAGAATCGAAAACGATTGTCTTAACACCGGTTTCAGATAGAGAATGACAGATTTAAAATACAGGAAGGCGAAGAACAAGTCAGAGGGAGAGATATTATATGGAATAAAGGTAGTACTGTAAAAGTGGCGTTATTTCTAAATTCTTATTTTAAACCATGCATGGAATTTAAATCTCTAATTAACTAGACATTAAAATAAGAAACAGTGAGCTATAATGCAGACCGTATTTCTGTGGGCCTGTCATGGTGTATATAGCTTAAGTTTTACTGGTCATCATTAAGGTAATAAAACAATAAATTTAAAACGGTCGAAATTAGACAGTTACGAGTAGGCGATCTCTATATTTAGAGATAGCCTAGCTACCGGTATTAAAAAATATGTAGTTACAAGAACAATATGTACAAATAGGAGTAACTTACTTTCTTAAACGAATGAAACTGGCTGCCTTTAGCGTAGACATTATGTTGGTACACCTCATCTGCCAATATGAAGAGACCTTTCTCGTGAGCAAACTTCACAATAGTCTCGATGTTGTCCAGCGACAGAACCTGGCGGTTGGATTGTCGTATTATCCACGAGACGATACGACGATACATTAGGGCCTCATTTCCAAGTTAGACAATGGAAATGACAATAATTATTTACAAGATGACGCATACCTGGCCGGTGGGGTTCCCTGGGTTGATAACGACGATAGCGCGTACTTTACAATTGGAAGAGCCTTCATCGTAGCTGCGCTGAAGTTCATTCAGCTCTAGAGCCCAGGTATGCTGCTCATTTAAGTAGTATCGGACAGCCTCCAGGCCGTACTCCGCGATCGTCGCCGAGTACAGCGGGTACTGCGGGATCGGGATCATAACACCTGCAAATAGATTAAGGCTCGCTTACTGAATCATAAACTACACAAGTTTAATAAACCTGTATGGTTAAATTCATGACGTTTTATGTACGTAATGGTGATGTAGGTATTACGAGTTAGTCGTAATACAATAAAGATCAGGCGCAGATCTTAAATGATGGTGCAGATATTTACCCGCTTCGGGAAATACCTACTAAAGTACCCTAATAACATCGCCAATTGCTACAGTTACGTTGTCTTCTCTTTAATACATACCAGTCTTCTCTGAATTGCTGAATAGCTGCATAACACTTCTAATGCCGCTGGAGGCGCCACCGCAGAGACATATGTTCTCCCATTTAGAGGGGTAACCATCGCGTTTCGCGATGTAAGCGGCAATGTTTTTGCGAATTAAGTCAATCCCATAAGACGCGGTATATGCACCCGCGGACTTGCCACTGAAATAACACAAACATTGGCCTTTATAGTTTTTATCTTTGTACGCAATCAACTTAAATATAATTTAGTATCTGTCTTCTATTATTGAGGTGAAATATTCCGGCAGAAGCCGCTAGGTTCCCTCCGACAATCGGTCCAATAAAGACGACGCGGCCCGATCGCGTCTTGATGCTATCAGGCCGCCACCCCGCTGTTCTCCTAATCTTCCACCAGAAGTCCTCACTCTTGGACAGCTCGCAGCTGAAATCGCCGCCGACGTCTTCTATGCTCGGGATCACGTAATATCTCATCGGAAGAAAATACTTGCCCACAGTTCTGCAAAAGGTCTGATGCTCTCGCCTTAACATCCTCAGGGAAATTACTGCATTGGATGAGTGACGGGCTTACCATGCAGGCCAACACCTATAACCATATATTAAGCTATGTTTATTTACTGTCCAATGTTTACGGAAAAACTACAAAGAGAAACTTTCAAGTAATTTCTTTCGCTCTTAGGAATGGTTAATATGTTACGTAAATGACGAATAAATGACAGTCACAACAATTTTGTTAATACTTAATATTTTGATAAATAACGCAGGATAAACCCTTTTAATCTAAATAAGTCTATACAGCTAAATCTATACAGGTAAAAAATAAGTCTATACAGGTAAAAACACTGATAGAAATAATTTGTCCCAAATAGATTACTGTTTTAAAAAGGCAAAATTGTAAGTATATTTGAAAGAAATCAACAACTTAATTGAATATTAAATAAGCGAATTATTAAAAAAAAATCAAAACGCCTGACTGATTATGTAGTTAGTTGTCTGATTATGCGAAAGAAGCACTAAGTTAATAATGAACTCACTTGTCTGATAAATGTAACAGGCTTCTGTCCCATAGCGTGTGCATCTCCGATATTTGCTCTGATCACTGTTTTAAAGGGTTTTTGAGCTCCCTGTTAATGAACAAAATGGGTGATGCAAAATGTTTACTGAACACAGGGTGACGAAGAACTATGAACTGAATATTGTCTGAGATACACTGCCAGGGTTCAGATTAGGAGAGTAGATTACGAGGAGCTGAGAGAATGATATATAACTGATATATAACTTTAATACACCCGGAATAAATCTGTATTCCTGTTATATTGAAGTTTACTCCTTGATTAAGGTGGAGAACCTGTATTGGGTTAAAAATTACTCGAGCTGCCACGAAGTATTTACAAACGTGAGTACAACCACACATCCTGTCTCATTCTTGTTACATAAAAATCTTAGAGTATATTTAATTCCAATCATTTATTGAAGTCAACACATTATAAATGTTAATGACGCTTGTACCTTTAAAAGTTCCTGTTCAATCTCGGCAGCTCGAATTACCAGCGGACCACGAACAGCGTATTGCAGGGCTACTATATTAGGATTTATGTTGTCCATGGTCAGGGCCTTGCCACCGCTACTACGACCACTACCTTCATTAGAACTGCCACCACAACGAATCGGCTTACATGGATGCGCCAGTGTGCGAATATTTTGGAGTAAACATGTTGAAGTCTTCTTCGAGAGCAATTCAACTTCATAACCAAATTGCATGATCTGTAAATAACCAAGTTATCAGTTTTATTTCGCATCATCAAACCAAATGTAAGAACTGATCGCGCATAGCACAATAAAGTTCTCGCGGAGCTTATTCCTAACGCTGCCTCACCAAGCATGATCACCTAGCCAACTGGGCACAAAATGTTTTGGACAAAAATAATGAACACTTAAATGAGTTTAGGTTCCAAAGTGGAACTGGTCACTATTAACAAGAAATGTTTTGTAGAAATAATTGAGGAATAGCTGGCCCGCTCTCTGTAGTTAACCGCAACAAAATCATTCAGAAATGTATTTGTAACAGAATTCTGCTAATGCTTTAATGGAAGAATTCAGAAACGATTGATCTCAAAAGATAAACTGTTCTATGGAGTCTCACGCTACTTCGGGAGCCGTTTTCAACTATCCTGAAAAATATTAGAATCCGCTCATCACGGTCCTTCCGCATTTAGGCCGAAAATTATAAAATTATTATTCTTAACAAAAAAGAGGCAGATAAAAATTAAGGGAAGACCCAAATACTCCGACATATTTTATTTCGAATTCATCATCATCAACAGCCCTTAATAGTCTTTCCTTAATCCAGTTACGCATATTTATTTAAAATCTATAAGTGACGTATTATGTAAATTAAAAACGTCTACTTTGTTGTTAATATTTGTGTATTTATATTTTTTTGTGATTTCATGTACCTACTTCGGGTACCATCTACTGTTATTGAATTGTTTGGGCTAGGTTAGAACAGTGGTGATTAACACCAGATCCCCTCTATTGTTGGTGAATCATTTGGGTTAGATTAAAACTGTGACTTAGTGGTCAGGAAATATTTGTATTTGAAAGAAAATAGAAGTAATTTTTTGATGTTTCCAATTATCATTTCGTAGTCGGACTTTTTGTTATTCGATTTATTGAAACTCGGGATTTTGACCAGAGTAATTTTAAACGGTCGGAATCTTGATTTTTTTGAATTTTCGACAAATATAATTTACTCTATAGAATGTATAAAATTAAGATGGATGACCAATCGGAGTTGTTTTATTAGGAATTTTGAATTATTTGGAATTCGCATTAGTCACTGACGGAATACTTTCTTTTTTAAATATTAACAAATACTTTAACTTAATTAACATCTCCGTTTTGTGACGAATAAAGAATACACAGTGTCACCAGCCCTTTTCATACCGAGGGTGTCGCAAGAGCCGACTAAGCAAACGTAGCAGGACTACAGCTCTGCAATGAGAAGGAAAACTTGAAACAAACCCTTTTTTTTTTTTTTTTTTTTAACTTGTGGAAATCCCCTCGGACCGTCACCCCTACGGGGTTTGCGGCGGGGTGGTGTGTCGGACTCGGACCGACTAAAACCACACGGTGTGCCACTCTGCGCCTGTAACAGGAGGGATCCGGGAACAGCTGTTGTTAAGACATCCGGACCCCTCCTAGCGCCAGCCCGCTCCTGGTGCGGGCTCCGTCTCAATGTAGATGTTCCTCTCTTTAGGCGACGTCCGGCACACGCGGACGCCGCCCCCTCGCGGCTGGCCAACTAATGCGGGTGGAGGGGAAACCCACCCCGTCCACCCGCGGCCACACTCAGGGCGGCATGAGGCTGTGGTAGGCGGGTCTCCGCCGCCCGGTTCGCCGGCGGCGGATCGGGTCCGAGTGGAGGTCGTCCTCCCGGGCCCTCTCCGCCGCCTCCTTCCGCGAGATTACTACCTCGCAGAAGGTTGCGACCGCGGTAAAACAACTGTCGCTACCGGCCATGGAGCGTACTACGGCCGGTAGCGAGAGATCCACTCCGATGACTGCAGTGAGGGCCCGGCGCTGCGCCGCCCATGCGGGGCAGACCGCCAGCGTGTGCTGGGCCGAGTCCTCACTGCAGTCGCAGTGGTGGCAGGCGGGACTCAGTTCCCTCCTAGCGACCGTGTGCAGGTACTTTCCGAAGCAACCGTGCCCGGAAAGCACCTGCGTCAGTCGGAAGGAAAGGGTCCCGTGCTGCCGCCCTGCCCACTCGGCGATGACCGGCTGGAGAGCCTCCACGGCGGCGAAGCCAGCGCGTGGAGTCTCCAGCCGGAACGACCAACGAGCCATCGTGGCTCGGCGAGCGGCTTCGCGCCACTCGCGCACATCCTCGGGCGGAGGGCGAAATCCGCACTCCGCCCGGGAGTCAGCCACTCGCCGATAATCTTCGGCGAGCACTTCCGCCTCCAAATCCCACGGGGGAGTTCCGGCCAACGCGCATGCCACCTCCGTAGAAACGGTGCGGTAACCGCGTATGGCTCTGACCGCCATTACCCTCTGAGGGCGCCAGAGGCGTACCCTATTCTGGGCGGTCAGAGCCGCCGCCCACACCGGTGCACCGTACAGCGCCATTGACCGGACAACCCCCGTGTACAGCCGTCTTGTCGCGACGCTGGGTCCACCCATATTGGGCAAAAGTCGCCCTAGGGCAGACGCAGCGCCGACCAGCTTTGGAGCAAGCTGTCGGAAGTGCTCGTCGAAGAGCCACCTCCCGTCGAGGATCAGGCCCAGATATTTCATCTGGGCCCGAACCGGTACGAGGACCGAGTTGACCACGATTGAGGCGCCAGGGGGTGGACCACGACGGGGCCCATGAAATAACAGGGCCTCCGTCTTATCTAGGGCCACCCGTAAGCCCAGCGCCTCAATGCGCCCGACCACCAGGGAGACTCCCCCTGTGGCCAGGCGCGCCGCCTCTTGGAAGTTTGCCCCCCGGGCTGTCACGAGGGTATCGTCTGCGTAACAGATTACACCCAGCCCGGGGGGGAAATCGGCGCGAAGGGCCCAGTCGTACCCTATGTTCCACAAGAGGGGTCCAAGAACAGACCCCTGTGGAACACCGCACGACATGGGCCGACTCCTCAAATTACCTTCTCGCTCCTCGTACACGACGGTACGCTCCTCTAAATAGTCTGCCACCAGCCGCCTCAGGTACTTTGGCACCCCATGATAGTGGAGTGCTTCCCTGATGCAGCTGAATGGCAGACTATTGAATGCGTTGGCGATGTCCAATGACACCGCCAACAGCACGCCGCCACAGCTCACGGCCTCTTCGGTCACGGCCCTCAGGCGCAACACAGCGTCGACTGTCGAACGCCCCGCCCGAAAACCAAATTGGGCGTCCGACAGATCGGGGCCCACCTCGCAGAGGTGCCGGACGATGCGGGCAGAAAGAACCCTCTCAAACAATTTGCCCGCCTCGTCCAGCAGCACGATGGGCCTATAGGCCGCGACCGAATCGGCAGGCCGTCCCGGCTTCCTCAATAGGACCAGCTTCCCGCTCTTCCAGCACTCAGGGAAGCGTCCCGACGCCAAGCTAGCGTCGAACACCTCCCCGAGGCGGTCTGCCAAGTGGTTGAGCCGCGCCACGTGACCCCTACTGGAGTCCTGGGCCCGGGAGAGCTCAAATCGGATATACAGGTGATCCGAGAGCGTCTCAACCTCTTCCAGGACACACCAGTTCCTTACTCGTGCGGTGAGGGCAGGGGTAGCGAACGAAAGGTCCACTATCGACCCCCCCTGCTGTCGCACGCACGTGTTGGTGGAGCCTCTGTTTAGAAGACAGAGGCCCACCGAGGCCGCCCACTCCTCTACGGCCTCGCCCCTGGCGTCCGTCCTGGGGGAACCCCACGCAATGGACTTTGCGTTGAAGTCCCCCAGCACAAGGACGTGCCCAGACGCTAGTCGCCGTATCGAGGTCTCCAAGCTGGTTAGGAAAACCTCGAAGTCGTTCAAACTCCGGTTGGGGGAGAAATAGACACCATATATGGTGATCCCCCCCCACTCGACGGCAACATATCCAGTGCCCTTGTCTCTTAGCGACAAGGGCGGGGAATGAGCCGTCGTGGAACCGACGACTGCCACGGAGCCGTCCCAGTCACCCATCCAGTTTGGACGGGGAGGGACAGAATAGGGCTCCGCGACTACGGCAACACCTATCGACCACTGTGCCATGGTTTGCAGGAAGAGATCCTGCGCCGCGGCACAGTGGTTCAGGTTCGTCTGGACCAGGAGGTTGGAGACTTGATCCATTACTGGATCGTCTCTACAACCTCCTCCATGGGCGACGACGTCGACGCACGAACTACATCGGAGGCAGCCTGGGTCGACTGGCTAACCCCCGACGTCTGCCGAGAACTGCGGGGAGGCTTGCAGCCTCTCTGCCCCATCTGGTGATTGGCGGGCTTATTGCCCGCCGCACACACTGGGCAGTGAGGGGCGGCAGAGCATTCTGCCGCCTTATGCCCCGGTTGACCGCAGAGGAAACACAGTCCGCCGCAGTCAAAACAACTGTCGCACTTGACGCGCGTGTGTCCCGATGCTAGGCATTTGTAGCATCTCATCTGTCTCGCCGCCAGGACTGTGATCCTGGCGCTCACGAAACCGATGAGCAGCCTGCCGGCGTCGGCCAATACTTTGGCCGACGCTACGGGACAGCTGACCCACACGGCGCCAAGCCCTCCTGGACCGGGGCGGATGGTGCCGACCCTGACGTTGTCCGCGCTGCACCCCGTCTTCTCCCGGATTACAGCGCGGACATCTTCGGCCGTCACTGAGTCGTCCAGGCCCGAGATGCGCAGTTCCGCGCACTTGGTAGGCCTGGCGACCCTGACACCATCTGTGGCTGCAAATATTCCCCGCAGCTTCTCAGCGAAGGAGTCCACCGTCTTTGGGCCTTCAGCCCCAGGGAACTCGAGAACTCGAGCTCCCGTCTGGGCGAGGCGCATCCTGACCCCCACCGTCCCAAACTCGTTGGCGAGGCTGTCCCGGGCCTTCTTGAAGACGGCCGCATAGGACAGCCCGCCGTCAGCCGCCTCCGGGGACACGGTCACAACTACAGCCGCGGTTTTGGGCGGCTGCAGCTTCCGCGGCCTCTTTGCAGAGGCCGTTGCCACCGGTGGCGAAGGCTGGGCTTGGGCTGCTTTTTGGGCAGCCTTTCTGGCCCGCCTTCAGGACTTCTTGGAGCCCCTCGCCTCCTGCCAACC